GAGTTGAAAGGGATGAATCATAATCTATATCAACAAGAAGAAGATTTCATTTATAGAGCGCCTTTCACGTTGTGAGGACGTCCCAAGGAGCGGGGGGGGGGGGGAAATGGTCAGGGTGAGGGGAGGGAAGGGAGGGAGCGAGGAGGGGGTAGAGAGTCGAGAGGGGAGCTGAAGGTACGGTCAAAGAGAGAGGTCTTGAGACCGGCCTTGAAGGAGGAAAGGGAGGAAGCGAAGGCGAAGGCACTGGGGGATAGAGCTCCAGAGCCTGGGGGCTGAGAGGCTGAAGGCCCGGCCACCGATGGTAGGGCGGTTGGGGCGGGGGATGTGGAGCAGACCGGAGCCAGAGGAACGGAGGGGACGTGAGGGGATAGTAGGTCGGAGAGGTATCCTCTCATCCCTGGGCATTAAAACCCTCTCCAACAATACAGCACCCTCTGTATTGTTTAGGATTGATTTTTCACCCCCTCACCCACACAGGTGTGTGTGTGTATCAGAATATAAAACCATCATCCCAGCAACTGGCCCTTAGCAACACACCCCCCCCACTCCCTGGATCTGCCTCCTGCCTCCTGACTCCCTCCTCCTCCTCGGTTGCCAGGCGAATGACGCAGTAGCATCGCCCCACGGGGAGTGGGGGGGGGGGAAGCAGCAACGTCACCGGAAGTTCCGCCCCACGCACAGAAGCGATTGGCTGACAACTCGCCGGGTCCGTCCCGGAAGACCCAGAGCCCGATTCTATTGGTCGTTCGGCGGTCAATCAAAGCAATCAATCGCGCGACGTGGAGGAGGAGGAGGAGGAGTGACGACGGTTTTTTTTTGCCTCCTCCTCCTCCTCCCCCCCACTCGTCATCATTGACGCGCGCGACCTGTCATGGCGGCTGTGGGACAGCCTCGCGGACGATACTGGTCGGCGGCGAAGCCCGGACAAAGCAACGCGTAGAGGTAGAAGCGAAGCTGAGAGCCCGCGCGTTGTGAAGACACCGGGAGGGAGGGAGAGAGGGAGAGAGGAGTGGGGGCGGAGTTGACAGCGCCGCCCGCCCGAAGCCTCCTTTTTTTTCCCCCACCACCACCGCCGCCCCCCTTCACTCTCTCTTTTCGTCTTCATATGTGAGGATGCGTTTCTATGGCGCGGCTGTAGCCAACCGGAGACACAGACGACGACGAAGAAGAGGAGGGCTCTGCGGCGGCGGCGTCGGCGGCGTCGCAGGTCCCGAAGGAGAAACCCGGTCGTCGCGCGCTCCTCGTTTGGGGCCGTTCACCGAAATTCCGGGTGGGGGGCGGGGCGATATATGTCGATATCTGTCTGTCTATCTACCGGTCCCTTTTCGGTGCGGCAGTTAATAACACACTGATTTAAAGTGCTCCCCCAGCCCCCGCCACACCCCCCCCACCCCCCCGCCCCCCCCCCCAGTTCCGTCTGCGCTCCCGGAGGCCCTGTCGAGAATGGCGATACGTTGGGATGTTCTGCTGGTGTTGGCGTTGCGCAGTGTTCAAGGTGCTCCACTTCCGGAAACAGGTGCAGGTTCGTACCCTCGTTCGGTGCCTTTTCTTCTTCTTCTTCTTCGTTATTTTTCTTCTTTTTTTTTCTTAGCCTCGCGAAGCGTTCGCATTCACATCGTTTAGTTTCAGTTGCAGGAATCGGTTATCTCTGTGTGTGTGTCTGTGTGTGTGTGTGTGTGATCTCTGTGTGTGTGTGTTCTGTGTGTGTGTGTGATCTCTGTGTGTGTGTGTTGTCTGTGTGTGTGTGTGTTGTCTCTGTGTGTGTGTGTTGTCTCTGTGTGTGTGTGTGTTGTCTGTGTGTGTGTGTGTTGTCTGTTTGTGTGTGTGTGATCTCTGTGTGTGTGTGTGTTGTCTCTGTGTGTCTGTGTGTGTGTTGTCTGTGTGTGTGTGTGTTGTCTCTCTGTGTGTGTGTGTGCGTGTACATGTATAATTCGCCCACAAATGTACAGTCACTTCGCCTCGCCGCGCGTTTCCGCGAAGCGCTTCGAGACGTCTAGAAGACGCGACAAGCGCTAGATCGGAACGCAAGGGTTATTGTGGTTTTATTACGCGTGGGTTTTTTTTTTTCGTTTCGCGAAACTAATCGGATGCGGAATGATGCACGACGACAGCAAAAAAAAAAGACGGGGGTGGAACGGGGAGCCTAGATGTATGGTGATGAGTGCGGCACCAATCGGAATTCTGCATTCGGGTAATTTCGTGTGGCTGCTGAATAGGCAAATGGGGTTTGTAACACATAGTAATGTTTAGTAGTAATAATGATGATAATCCTTGCATTTGATATAGCGCCTCATCGCGTTGTTGAGACGTCTCAAAGCGCTTCACAGGATATACTGTGATTTTAGGGATTATTACCCCTATTATATGTTTAATATATAATACTAGAGGCAGTGGTGGTACATTTCAGAATGTTTTAATATGCTGTGATCTATTGTGATTGAAAATAATACAGAGCAGTTGAATAGGGCAACTGGAGTGAAGTATCCTACTTGTCTGCCTGACCTTTTTGCTCAGCTGGCTCAGACCTGCTGGGTTTCTTCCAACCCCACTGTGCCATTATTGATACCTTCAGCCACTTCCCACTCTCCTGTGGAACTGCCATCCCCAGTCTATCTGCTTTGATCCATCTTTATCTTTAAATCATATCTTTGACAACGCTTATGACCAATTTCCAAAGATATCCTAATTCTTGAGCTTCTCTACTTAATATACTTTATGAAAAATAAATTTATAAATTACACATTAGTCTTTATGTTAGAAGATGGCGTGTGCTATCTAATCGGTATGCAGGCTCCTTTGAAGAAATTTGCTGAATGCCACCTTGAAAATCTCCTTTTGAAAGAAAGAATTTAACTCAAATGCTGTTTCAGTTTGAAACGGAATGTATTTGAGCGGTGAGATACAGAGATATTTATTTCTTCATAAGGAATGTCATAGTTAAATTTGGAATTTGGCTGCTATAGACCAAAATAAAATGCAGCTTCAACACTGTACAGTTTCTTTTCAAATAATTCTTAAAGACGAGGAATTCAAGTCAAAATCGATCTCTCTGGTCTGAAATCTGTTCAGATTGTGACTGAGATGACCTGAATTGTTTCATCATTCTCTGAGACAGTGAGACAGCCCTCTGGCCTTCCAGTATGGCAGTTGGTAAGTGACTGAGTCAGGGTTGTCACATTCTTTCACATCTACATTTTTTTTATTTTTGTGACAAAGTGCACTCTTTATTTTCTGTTTTAATATTTTTAAAATGTTTATCATTCCACTCTTTTAACAAATTCGACTTTAACTTTAGACGATAGAATTGGCTCAAATACTAACTCGCGTTTGAACAGTGCAGGTCACATAGAAAGAAATGCCTTGCGCTAATCATCCTGCCCTTCGAATGGGGCGCCTTATCACGTCATCGCGACGTCTCAAGAAGCATTCCGCAACGTGTACTGTAAGGCGTCCGCGTACTCTCGTCCAAAACATCTTTTCCCACCTTCCTTCAGATACGCTTCCAGGAACAAGAGCTGGGTTTTAGCAACCTTGTCACATCGGTGGCCGTCTTACAAACCTGTTCTGCTGCGAGTTGAAAGGGATGAATCATAATCTATATCAACAAAAGAAGATTTCATTTATAGAGCGCCTTTCACGTGGGAGGACGTCCCAAGGAGCGGGGGGGGGGAAATGGTCAGGGTGAGGGGAGGGAAGGGAGGGAGCGAGGAGGGGGTGGAGAGTCGAGAGGAGAGCTGAAGGTACGGTCAAAGAGAGAGGTCTTGAGACCGGCCTTGAAGGAGGAAAGGGAGGAAGCGAAGGCGAAGGCACTGGGGGATAGAGCTCCAGAGCCTCGGGGCTGAGAGGCTGAAGGCCCGGCCACCGATGGTAGGGCGGTTGGGGCGGGGGATGTGGAGCAGACCGGAGCCAGAGGAACGGAGGGGACGTGAGGGGATAGTAGGTCGGAGAGGTATCCTCTCATCCCTGGGCATTAAAACCCTCTCCAACAATACAGCACCCTCTGTATTGTTTAGGATTGATTTTTCACCCCCTCACCCACACAGGTGTGTGTGTGTATCAGAATGTAAAACTATCATCCCAGCAACTGGCCCTTAGCAACACACCCCCCCCCCACTCCCTGGATCTGCCTCCTGCCTCCTGACTCCCTCCTCCTCCTCGGTTGCCAGGCGAATGACGCAGTCGCATCGCCCCACGGGGAGTGGGGGGGGGGGAGCAGCAACGTCACCGGAAGTTCCGCCCCACGCACAGAAGCGATTGGCTGACAACTCGCCGGGTCCGTCCCGGAAGACCCAGAGCCCGATTCTATTGGTCGTTCGGCGGTCAATCAAAGCAATCAATCGCGCGACGTGGAGGAGGAGGAGGAGGAGTGACGACGGTTTTTTTTTGCCTCCTCCTCCTCCTCCCCCCCACTCGTCATCATTGACGCGCGCGACCTGTCATGGCGGCTGTGGGACAGCCTCGCGGACGGTACTGGTCGGCGGCGAAGCCCGGACAAAGCAACGCGTCGAGGTAGAAGCGAAGCTGAGAGCCCGCGCGTTGTGAAGACACCGGGAGGGAGGGAGAGAGGGAGAGAGGAGCGGGGGCGGAGTTGACAGCGCCGCCCGCCCGAAGCCTCCTTTTTTTTCCCCCACCACCACCGCCGCCCCCCTTCACTCTCTCTTTTCGTCTTCATATGTGAGGATGCGTTTCTATGGCGCGGCTGTAGCCAACCGGAGACACAGACGACGACGAAGAAGAGGAGGGCTCTGCGGCGGCGGCGGCGGCGTCGGCGGCGTCGCAGGTCCCGAAGGAGAAACCCGGTCGTCGCGCGCTCCTCGCTTGGGGCCGTTCACCGAAATTCCGGGTGGGGGGCGGGGCGATATATGTCGATATCTGTCTGTCTATCTACCGGTCCCTTTTCGGTGCGGCAGTTAATAACACACTGATTTAAAGTGCTCCCCCAGCCCCCGCCACACCCCCCCCCACCCCCCCGCCCCCCCCCCCCAGTTCCGTCTGCGCTCCCGGAGGCCCTGTCGAGAATGGCGATACGTTGGGATGTTCTGCTGGTGTTGGCGTTGCGCAGTGTTCAAGGTGCTCCACTTCCGGAAACAGGTGCAGGTTCGTACCCTCGTTCGGTGCCTTTTCTTCTTCTTCTTCTTCTTCTTCTTCTTCGTTATTTTTCTTCTTTTTTTTTCTTAGCCTCGCGAAGCGTTCGCATTCACATCGTTTAGTTTCAGTTGCAGGAATCGGTTATCTCTGTGTGTGTGTGTGTTGTCTCTGTGTGTGTGTGTGTGTGATCTCTGTGTGTGTGTGTGATCTCTGTGTGTGTGTGTGATCTCTGTGTGTGTGTGTTGTCTGTGTGTGTGTGTGTTGTCTCTGTGTGTGTGTGTTGTCTCTGTGTGTGTGTGTGTTGTCTGTGTGTGTGTGTTGTCTGTGTGTGTGTGTTGTCTCTGTGTGTGTGTGTGTTGTCTCTGTGTGTGTGTGTGTGTTGTCTGTGTGTGTGTGTGTTGTCTCTCTGTGTGTGTGTGTGCGTGTACATGTATAATTCGCCCACAAATGTACAGTCACTTCGCCTCGCCGCGCGTTTCCGCGAAGCGCTTCGAGACGTCTAGAAGACGCGACAAGCGCTAGATCGGAACGCAAGGGTTATTGTGGTTTTATTACGCGTGGGTTTTTTTTTTTCGTTTCGCGAAACTAATCGGATGCGGAATGATGCACGACGACAGCAAAAAAAAAAGACGGGGGTGGAACGGGGAGCCTAGATGTATGGTGATGAGTGCGGCACCAATCGGAATTCTGCATTCGGGTAATTTCGTGTGGCTGCTGAATAGGCAAATGGGGTTTGTAACACATAGTAATGTTTAGTAGTAATAATGATGATAATCCTTGCATTTGATATAGCGCCTCATCGCGTTGTTGAGACGTCTCAAAGCGCTTCGCAGGATATACTGTGATTTTAGGGATTATTACCCCTATTATATGTTTAATATATAATACTAGAGGCAGTGGTGGTACATTTCAGAATGTTTTAATATGCTGTGATCTATTGTGATTGAAAATAATACAGAGCAGTTGAATAGGGCAACTGGAGTGAAGTATCCTACTTGTCTGCCTGACCTTTTTGCTCAGCTGGCTCAGACCTGCTGGGTTTCTTCCAACCCCACTGTGCCATTATTGATACCTTCAGCCACTTCCCACTCTCCTGTGGAACTGCCATCCCCAGTCTATCTGCTTTGATCCATCTTTATCTTTAAATCATATCTTTGACAACGCTTATGACCAATTTCCAAAGATATCCTAATTCTTGAGCTTCTCTACTTAATATACTTTATGAAAAATAAATTTATAAATTACACATTAGTCTTTATGTTAGAAGATGGCGTGTGCTATCTAATCGGTATGCAGGCTCCTTTGAAGAAATTTGCTGAATGCCACCTTGAAAATCTCCTTTTGAAAGAAAGAATTTAACTCAAATGCTGTTTCAGTTTGAAACGGAATGTATTTGAGCGGTGAGATACAGAGATATTTATTTCTTCATAAGGAATGTCATAGTTAAATTTGGAATTTGGCTGCTATAGACCAAAATAAAATGCAGCTTCAACACTGTACAGTTTCTTTTCAAATAATTCTTAAAGACGAGGAATTCAAGTCAAAATCGATCTCTCTGGTCTGAAATCTGTTCAGATTGTGACTGAGATGACCTGAATTGTTTCATCATTCTCTGAGACAGTGAGACAGCCCTCTGGCCTTCCAGTATGGCAGTTGGTAAGTGACTGAGTCAGGGTTGTCACATTCTTTCACATCTACATTTTTTTTATTTTTGTGACAAAGTGCACTCTTTATTTTCTGTTTTAACAATTAGATACTTTTAAATACTGGATGAGAGCTCTGAAGCATCTTTTTATATAGATAGTCTTGCATATTGAAACATTTTCAAGGAAAAAATATCTGATTTATATTTTTAGTAACAATCTATATTTGCACACTATTCTTTAGAACTTGTATACAATGAGGATATGTTAAATTCATAATGTTATTGCTGTTATCGGCCATGGGCCATGAGTTGACTGCCATTATTACCAGTACGATGAGTTCCTATTTCAGTTAATGTATCCCAGAAGGTTGAGAAACAGTCAATTTTCACAGCTGTTGCATATCTATCAACTGACTGGAAGGTAGTTATTTACAAAAAAAGCTTTTGACCCTTTTTCCTTTTAAAATGGTGGTTGCTGGAGTAGAAAGTGAAAACCGCTCCCTTCACCTTCTTCCATTGTAAACCGAAATGTACTGAATGCCAACAAAGCATCAGCAGCCAAAAAAACATGCAGTGATCAAGTATAATAATAATAATAATCCTTGCATTTGATATAGCGCTTTTCACGTCAGGAGGACGTCCCAAAGCGCTTCACAGAACACACTGTAAAGTGAATTGACTGTATATTTGTGGGCGAACGCGGCAGCCAATTGCGCACAGCAATGTCCCACAAACAGTCGTAGATTGAAAATGACCAATTTAATTATTGTTTTTGGTTTTTTGGAGGGATTATTATTAGGCTCTGTGTGGAGTAAGGAAACTTGCCCAAGGTTTCGCCCTCTGCCTGGAATTGAACTCAGGTCTCTCACTTGCAAAGCGAGTGCTCTAACCACTGAGCTACAGGACTCCATACTCCACTCCAAGTATGGAGTGATGGAGTACCTGAAGCCTTCCTGAATTCACCAAGACTGAGATGTATTCGTTTCAGTGCTAGCAGGGCAATAATTCAAACACCATTATGGATCAGAGTCTCAGTATAAATAATATGTTTATATTGTAGGTGCAAGTTCAAGTGGTTCTGTAATATCCCAAATACTCAGTGCTGTGGAATACATTCCATTTGCATTATAGTGCAGGTTCTACAGTGTTGAGAGCAACTCAAAAACAAGTGGGCTTATTTAAAAGTTGAAATGCAAGTTTTATTCCTGCTGACTGAGCCTAAATGTCTGTACTGGTGAGCCAAATGTATTACCTGCTTGCAGCTGCACTATTATAGCTCTAGAGCATCACTTGGCCATAACTCCATTCTGTATCCTTTATTCCAGCATATAACATTTTGCTTTTTAATTAGTTATGAAAGCGTATCTCAAGTTTATTATCTAACCTTGTAGTTCTGTTAAGACATTTTTGGAATTTTTTTTATTCTAGCAAGTATAAGTTCTTTGAAACCCATTTCCAATAGCAACTGTCAGTCTGGTGCTGATGTATACCAGAATCAACAACAACAGCTTGCATTTATGTTGGGGGAAGCTTCTCAGAGCATCTAACAGTGGCGGAGCCTGACGGCGAGCTGGGGGGAGGGAGGCAGTGACCGTAAGCACGGTCGAAGAGGAAGGTCTTCAGTTGTGATCTAAAAGGGGCAAGGCAGAGGGATGTAGTGGCTGAAAGCTACTTGGTGCAGTATGGATATTTGGTGCAGTATGTTACTAGGACGTTCACTGGTAATTATGGCTCAAAGTATATTTCAATATTGAGATTAGTTTTTGTGAAATTTTTATGCAAATAATATTGATGCCTAATTTTGTCTCATGGGAGATATTGCTGTATGAATCTTACCACAAGTGTTCATTTTGAACTCTGGGTGTGATGTATGCACTGGTTGGTTCGAGTTGCTTTTCTCACTGGTTGTATGTTTATAAAGAGTGAAGTCCATTTCCAAACTGTTAAAATCAAATACTTAGTTGAGTACCCAAAAAAGAGTATTTTGTTAATTGGTTATGCTTGTGTTCTGTTCATACACCTAGAAATTGAATATTTTCACTGCTTCTTGTGTTTCTCCTACACAACCATCTCAAAACCTAGCCAAAGCAGACATTGGATCAGATTGTGATTGCAAACAGCAACCAAGCCTGAACTGATGCTACAATGCTTTGAAATCAAATTAGGGCATATAGACACAGGGGAGCATGGTATCAGAAGGAAAATCAATTTTGAGCATTTTTTAGACGCATCAGCTTTGTGTTGACGTTGCAAGGTGAGAATGTTGTTGGATCAGCATACAGGATTGTGTACTTCGAACGAGAAGGAATGAGTCAACTCTAGGCCAGCTGGCACAGGATATTTTTCTGCAAGCAAGTAGTAATAGGTCAAGTGCTCAACCAAGGGGCAAAGGGCCAGTTGAAAAACCAACCGCACAAGTTTTACAATTTGTTTAACCATTTAGCAGTACTCTATGTGTATTTCATTACGTAGTTTAATTTTCGAAGGGGAATACTTGGAAATTGATACATAATTTGATTTATTGCTTGGTGTATTTCATGTTCTGATGTTATCGTTGTTGACGAGCATTGAATTACATGTTGGCTGATATTTGAATGCAGAAGTTATTAAAGGCAGAAATTTTTGCCATTGCTGCACTTGGCAGCTAACTCTTACAAGGCTGTTACTACAATAATTGCAATATGACCTATCTGAGACCTATTTGATGTAGTGTTTGGTTGGATATGGTTCCAATTCCATGGGTGCTGGCAGTTTTCCTTTACCTTACCCAAATGGTTGAGGAGCATGTGGAGCAGGTTGTGACTATATGGAAATTGCAGAATGTCGTAAAGCTCTGGGGAAACTCTTGTAAAACACTTGGAAAACTTGCATATGTTCTATTCACAAATTTCTGTAAGGTTTTTGACCTAGTGCCTCATGAAAAAGCTGGAAATTATGGGGATAATTGGCCAAATCTTGAATTTTATTTGGGATGTGTATTCCAGCTCCGAGATCCTTATAAGAGTTGTTTGGAGAATTAACCAAACTGTGTCTCAAATGGGTACGATAAGGTCGTCCACTGTCACCACCTTATTTGATGCATTAATATTGGACGGACCTTTGTGTCTCAGGTATTTCTGCTGGAACTGCTTCACTTCCTTCCTTCCTTTTGCAGACAATATTGAATTGCATTGTTTGTGCACTCACCTGGCGCTTTCGTGTGCTTCACTCAACATCTTGAAAACATCCTACTCAGTAGGCCATGCTGGTGCGATGTGTAGTGTCGTGGCTCTGCACGACTTGAGAGAGGACACTAAAGGTATCAATTGAAGGGTACAAGAGTACCGTGTGAAGTCCAGAACCAAGTAGTGAGTTTGAGTTGTGG